TCCTATCCTATTCCTATCCTATTCCTATCCCATTCCTATTCTATTCTAATTCTATTCCTATCCCATTCCTATTCTATTCTATTCTATTTTATTCTATTCTATTCCTATCCTATTCCATCCCTATTCCTATTCTATCCCTATTCCTATTCTATCCTTTCCTATTCCTATTCTATTCCTATTCTATTCAATTCCTATCCTATTCCTATTCTATTCCTATCCTACTCCTATCCTGTTCCTATCCTATCCTATTCCTATCCTATTCCTATCGTATTCCTATCGTATTCCTATCCTATTCCTATTCTATCCCTATCCTTATTCTATCCTTTTCTATCCTGTTCTATTCTATTCCTATTCTATTCAATTCCTATCCTATCCCTATCCTATCCTAATTCTAATTCTATTCCTATCCTATTTCCTTCTATTCTGCTTATCCTCTTCCCTGCCGTGGCTAAGGGCTGCTGCTGAACTCTCAGTCCACCAGGGGGCAGCAGCTACCCCTTCCCCAAGTGCAGCCCTTCCTTTTTTGTGATTCCAGCCAAAGGGCTCTGAGAACATTTCAGCTGCCCCCCCCTCCGCTTTTGAAGACTTCAAGCAAAACCGCCCCGGACTTTTGGCACCCTCAGACGCGCTCGGAGGCCTTCCCAGGCCAAAAAGGGCCTGCCAAGCCCTCTGCCCCAATTGCCAAGTTGAGGGGAATGGGCTGCTTCCCCCCTTCAGAGCCCACGGGGGGGGGGGCTTTCTGGGTGGGGAGGGGCTCCAGGATCACCAAACACGGACGAAGTGGGAGGGGGCCCTGCTAAGCCCCTAACCCAACATCCCCTGAAGGTCCCTGCCTCCCCCCCCCCCCCCGGCCCGGCTGAGGGGGCCCCAGAAGAAGGGACAGGGAGCCCCCGGGAAGCAGCAGCCAGCGGCCTAGCCCTAGGACCAGGGCTGAGGTCCTCCTCCCCTGCCCCCTCCCTCCCTCCCTCCCTCCCTCGCCTGCCAGCGTGGTGTTTGGAAGGAGCCCTGGAGGCACTCTTGGGTGGGGAGGGGAGGAGGGGGGGCTTCGAGGCCGAGCCAGGTCACAGCCCAGCCAGTCCAGGGAGGCCCTGGATCCCTTGCCCGGAGGCAGAGCTGCAGGGGGAGAGGGAAGCGCCCTCCTTCGCCTGCTCTTTCAAGCACATCCCTTCCTGGGTTCTCTGGCTGGAAAAGAGAAGCGGCTTTGCTGCCCTTAGGCCAAGCCAGAGCGTTACGGCCCTGTCAACAGCCGACACCAAGCAAAGCCACTTGCTTCACATTATTTCCCTTCCTTCTCCCAAGGCGGCAACCAGGGCCACCTGCCTGTTCCAGAACCAGATCTGACACGGGCCGAAGAGGAGCCGGTTCTGCCGGTGGGAGGGGAGGGGGGGACTTCTTGTAAGTCTCCCTCAGCCCCAGAGCCGCCTCGGGGCGGGCAGGGCTCACGGCACCAGAGGCCGGAGAGCAGCAACCCGTTGCAACTTCTGGGTAGTGGGGAGTCACCGAACCCAGGACTCTTCCTTCTGGGGCTCCCTAGAGCACAGCATCTTCTCTGCCCTGGAGACGACCTTGCCCTCCCCCCCCCCCCCCCCCCGCCCCGGCCACAAAACTGCAGAAGACTTTTGCAGAGCTCTCTGGGTGTGGCTGCTGCGCTCTCCTCCGCCTCCCTCGCTGGCTCCGTTCCTCCTTACGAAGAGCTGCTTCAGTTTCCACCCGTCGTCCGTTGTATCCTCTCTTCAAACGGAAGCCCGGATCCTCCCGGCTTCCCTGAAGCCCCCTTGTGCCGTCTCTGGAGAGCGAGGAAGGCTGGAGCATGGGGGGGTCACCATAGGCCTCACGGCAGTGGCACCAAAGCTCTGCCACTTCTTCGTCTGCTCACGGACTCTGAGCATGTGAAGAGGGCTCCAGGGAGACCCTCTGCCCTCGCAGCCGCCCACTGACCCCATCCCCCCCACCGACCCCGCCTGGCCCAACACGGGGGGGGGGGGGGGAGAAAGGAGCCGGATATTCCCGGCCAGCTCGGAGGAAGCGGGGGAGGGGAAGCTGCCCTGTGGCTTCTTTTAATGCAGAGCTTTTCTCAGGTTTCATTCTCATTTTATTTGCTATTTGTTGAACCAGAACACCGTATACTTTATATACACACAGGTGAGCATGACTTCTGTTTGTGACAATACATAATATATTATTTAGGTAATACTAGCCGTAAGAAAACACGCGCACACACAGAGGGAGAGCCTCCCAATCAGCCAACCTAGGAAGGTGGGTCATTGCGTGAGGCTGGGGGGTGTGTGTGTGGCCAGGGGAACCTGCCAAGGAGGGAGAGGGGCCAGCCAGGCCCCAGGGGGGCTTCCCAGCTGGGCTACGACTCCCTCCCTCCAGGGGGAATTGGGTCCTTCCGGGAGCTGCAGCCCAACGCCTGACCCTCGCCTGCCGCCTGCCAGGGATCGAAGGAAACCTCGGGGGAGGGGGTGCCTATGGGGAGCCTGGCCAAGGAGGCCCCCGCTTTCCTTTTTTAAGAAAGTGCATTTCGTTCCTGGCGGCCTTCCGCCTGATGCCAACGGAGCAGGTCCCTGCTGCTCCTCTGCCAAGGAGATCCAGAGGTGGCCGGGAGCGGAGAAGGGAGGGAACACAGAGAGGGTGCCTGGAAGGGCCTTGCTCACTTAAAAACTACCCACAGGGGAAGCACCAAACCACGGGGGTCACCCAGGACATGCACAGGCGAGAGCTGAGACGACAGCAGCGTTAAGCATTACTGCCCAAGGGGGTCACGAGCCTCCGGGGGGAGGGGGAAACGAATCAAGAGTGCCACAGGGGCCAAGCAAAGCAGCTGGTCCAGAGCCATTCTAGCTCGCCAATGGCAGGAGGCGGAGGAGGAGGAGAAGGGCAGAGCTGCGCAAATCCCCAAAAAGACACCAGGGGGAGACACAGAGACGCATCTGCCAGAAAGGGCTTCATGGCCCAGTCCTCCCTCCCTGCCGGGCAAAACACACCAGGTTCAGAAGGGAGCCGGTTGAGGGAGATCCACAGCCGTCACCCACACAAGAGATGGGAGCAGGAGAGCCGCTTGGGGGCTGCAGCCACGCCCGACCTGGGAAGTGACCTTTTCTGACAAGAACTGGGCGGGGTGAAAGGATCCCGGGGAAATTGTGAGGCTTCACCAAACACAGAACACACGAATGGATCTGGAAGGCCCCGACTGCCAGCCTTCGAGGGAAGGAGGACGAGGGGAAGCCCAGAGGAGCCGGTTCTCCTGAGAGCAGAGATCAGCCGCAGGGGCAGCTCCGGACGGCTGCTCTCTGGGGCCCAGGGGAAAGGAAAGGGAGCCTGGCTGGGAACCCCAAAGGAAAAGCAGCTTCTGGTCAGCCTCCCAGACCTCGGGGACTGACCAGAGGCAGGAAGCCAGGTTTCAGCCGTCCCCCCTCCCTCGCTCCTCCCTCCCTCGCTCTTCCAAGGCTCCCGGAGGGGCGGATTCTGAAGCAGTTCTGCTGCGCCAGAGAGGGAATGCAGTGGGGAACCCAGGGAACGGGCACGCCAACAAAAACGGGGATTGTCTGGAAGTTGGGATTGGGCTGAAGAGCCCAGGTGGGTCCCTCTGCCTCGGCCGTTGGTCCGTTTCCGTTTCCTCCCTCCTGCTTCTTCAGAACTGAACCCACTTGGACGGCTGAGCAGGCTGGCTGGGAACTGCACTGGGGGGGGGGGGGGAGAGAGGCAGGGAAAGGATTAGGAGAGAGGCTGGGGGCCTCAAGGACCAGCCCCCCCCCCATCTTCCCAGCAAGATCTCGAAGCAAACGTCCCTCTGCCCAGGACGGAATCCCGAAAGGAGGAGAACCCGACTGCCCCAGAGGCCAAACAGGAGGGAAGAGGAGGAGGAGGAAGAGGAGGAAGAAAAAGAAGAGGAAGAAAAAAAGAGGAAGAAGAAGAGGAAGAAGAGGAGGAAGAGGAAAAGGAGGAAGAGGAAGAAAAAAAAGAAAAAGAGGAAGAAGAGAAAGAGAAAGAAGAGGAGAAAGAGGAAGAGGAGGAAGAGGAAGAAGAGGAAGAAAAGGAAGAAGGGGAGGGGAAGAAGAGGAGGAGGAAGAAGGAGGTAGGTCACCCCGAGAAAAGCCGCCCCTCCGCAGCCTCCCTTTTACCTGGGCGCAGTGCTGAAGTCTCCCCAGAGATCTGCGGTGGCTGGGAGCAGGGCAGGCGGGGGGCCCTTGGAGGCGGCCGAAGGTGACAGGTTGAAGTCTAGGAGAATATCTGGGGGTGGAAGGGGGGGCAGTTCTTGGTTAGGAATACAGAGGGGGGGGTCTCTTCCAGACCCTCCCAGCCCTCAGAGAGGCCCCTTCCGGCATTGCTCTGGCCAAGAGAGGCAGAGGAGGAACCTCCTGGGCTGCATTGCCCCCCCAGAACCTCCCAAATATGCCCCCACAGTGTGCCCAGGGAGTCCTCGACTTAGGACCACAAGCGAGCCCAAGGTTTAGGTTGTTAAGTGAGACGCCTCTTCAGTGATTTTGCCCCATTTTGCAACATTTCTTGCCACCGTTGTTAAGCAAATCCCTGTAGTTGTTAAGTGAGTAACAATCATTGACTTTGCTGGTCAGTCAGTCGCCAAAGGGTTTGGCGAGACCTCCAGGACACAGCGACGGTCCTAAGTGCGAGGCAGCTGCCAAGCCCCTGGGGTCTGGTCACTGCGAAGGTCCTTCACTTGGGAAAAGCGGCCCCAAGTCCCTTTTGGCCGTGCCTTCCTTTGAACGGTCACTAAACGAACCATCGTAAGTCAAGGACTACTTGCGCTTTCTTTTGACTGATACACAAAAGGGAGGTCACGGGGGGGGGGGAATCCTTTCCTTGGAGTGGCTGCCCAGCCAGGTGGAAGGAGGCCTGCCCAGGGGCTCCTCCTCCCCCCGAGGGAGAACAGGGCCGCCCCATCCCGACTCAGGAAGATCCAAGGGGCCTCTGCTGCCTCCCCCCCCGCCTCTCCTGAGCACCTGCTGGGGGAGGGGCTCATCCCTGGGACCCCCCTCCCTCAGGAAGCAGGACGTTACCTGTGCTGCCAGCACTGCTGGACTTGGGCACGGGGGGTGGAGTCACGTGGTTGGAAATGGCTGTCGAAGAAAGAGGGGGAACTGGGGGGGGAGCAGGAGCGGCCATTTTGCCCCCCGGGGGTGGGGGCAGAAGGCTGAGTCCGCCTGAGCCGGGGGGGCGGGGCTTCGCTGGCCCACTTTTCTTGGTGGGCATGTTCTGCAAAGGGAGAAAGGCGGCGTTAGGAGGGGTCTCCCAGAATCACAGGGCACCCCTGAAACCCCAGCCAGCGGGGCGTGGGGGGGCCTCACCCCAATGTTCAGCTTGATGGTCTGCCCTTCCTTGAAGCCCAGGTCGAGCTTGGGCCGGCTGTCCAACTCCTGGGACTCCTGGGAGATCTCCGTCTCTTGCTTCACCCACCTGCGTGCAAGGAGGTTAGGGGCAGGGAAGGCCGGGGAGGAGCAAGGCAAGGTGGTAGTGGCAGTAACCCTCGGCTTACAGCAGCCACGGGGACCGGAAGGCCTACCTGTCCCTAAAACAAGGCGGTTGCTAACTGAGCCCCCGAGTCTTTGGGGAGGAGATGGCCTCCCCACAAGGGAAGCTGTCCCAGGCCGGCAGGAAGCGAAGGGGGAGGTGCGGCGCTGAGCAAGGACCGGAGCGGGGAGGGGCTGCCCGGGTGGGATAAGCTGCCTTCTCTGCCAGCTGCCCCGACTGACTTTCTGGGGAAGCCGGCAGGTTAAGGTTGCCAATGGCCATCAGGTGGTCCGGGGACCCTGAAGCTGCCCAGGAAGGGCAAACGGGTGGCTAAGCACCCAGGATGGGGATCCCCTGACTGTGAGGATGCGGCAACGCCCAGGATCAGCCCTGGCCACCGTCGGTCGGAACGATGGTTCCCTGGATGGTGGAAGGTCACGGCCCAGCCGTACCTTGTCTTCTTTGGCCAGTGATCTTGGCTGAAGGGTTAGCCACGGGAGACACTGGGCGATGGATGGATGGGAGGCTCGCCCTGGGACGTTGTCATGTGTTTTGGTGCAGCCACCCGGCCCTTTTTGTCCTTTTGGGTTTCAGAAAAGCCTCAGGCAATGAAACACCGCCTCCCCTCCACCCCCACCCATCCCCCCGGAAGTGAGCTGAGCCCCCATGCCAGACAGGAGCAGCTCCGTTTCCGCAGGCCTTCCCCCTCTCCAGAGTGGCTCCTGCTGCCGTTTCCCCCCACCCCATCACTCACTTGAAATGGTCCTGCAGGGCCACGTTGAAGTCGAAGGCGTCTCCTCTGTCGCCAAAGCCGATGCCGATGAAGGCGCTGCGCCCTGGGCAAGAAAGCCAGCAGCCATTGGCCCAGAGCCCGAGAGCTCCTGGGAACACCCTGCCTCTTTGGCCAATGCAGTGCCTCCCCTTGGGCGGAGGAGGGGCCGACTCTGCCGCCTTACAGACCTCCTGATCCTCCCGAGGGAAGGCCAGGCTCTGCATCCGCCTCCACCCCGGAGGGAAACCTTTTCTTGGGCGCCTGGCGTTCAGAACCAACCTGGCCACAGGTATCACGCCTCCCCTGGCCAAGAGCCCCAGCGCCTTCAGCCCAGCGGAGGTCCTCAGCCAAGAACCAGCCGGAGAGGGGAGGGCCTTCCCACGCCCTCCCTGGGGTCGCTCCCCATGGTCTGCTTCTCTCGCATTTGGTTCTGAATTTTCCTCACCGGGCCCTTGGCTCTGAAACGCTTTGCTCAGCCTGCTCCCGAGGGGCATTTCTTGGCTCTCTGAGGCCTGGAAGACGGTTCCCAGGGGCCAGATCCTTAGGGTGGCTGGAGGCCCATGCCCGGTAGGGCCGCCATCCTTCACCTCAGCTAAGAAACCATGTGTCGTTGTCCTCCTCCCCCTCCCCCTTACCGTTCCCATCCTGAATCCGGAGGACAAAATATCGGCTGGAGTCATTGACTGTCTCCACTGCGATGCCAGGGTACTGGTCGATCGGAGCCTGTGCGAAAAGCTCCCCTGGGAGGAAACGAGATGGAGAGAGCTGCCTTCAAGGCCCAGCAGGGAAAGTGGGAACCAGGCCCTTTCCAGGACGGCTGCCAGGGAGAGCTGCCCACTCGCAAAAGGCATCTCCATCCAGCTGGCCAAGAGGTGGATGGGTCCGAACCCCTTGTCTCCTGCCCTCTCAGGAGGCTGCAACCCTGGCTGACCTCTGGGACGAGGTCCTTCAGCAGGGCAGCCTCTTTGCAACTAGATTGGATCACTAAACAAGCCGCAATGGCACTTAGACGTCTGTACTGCTTCACAGTGCTTTATAGCCCTCTCTAAGCAGTTCATAAACACCAGCAATTATTTGCCCCCAACAATCTGGGTCCTCTTTTAACAAAGGACGGAAGGCGGAGGCAGCCTTGAGCAGTCAGGATCGACCTGCTGGCAGTGGGCAGTTTGCCTGCAATACTGCATTCTAACCGCTGCGCCACCACAGCAAAATATCAATGTATATGATTTATAAAATAATCAAATAACAAAAATCCTATGAATCCAATAAAAATGGATTAATAAGATGCCTTTCTTCAAAGATGCAATTAGAGAACCTTTGTGTTTCATAAATTTCAACGTTCCATTTCCTGGAGAGAAGTTTGAGCATTTCTTGTAATTTGAAAGTCAACTCTCTGTTTTGGAGGAGCAGCCGGTAGACGGCCAAGAATGAGGGGGGGGGGGGGGGGGGGGGGGGGGGAGCCCACTTTGGCAAAAAGCTGGGCTGGAACCAAACTAAGAACCAGCCTCCTGGACTCCAGGCATAAAAACACCAAGACCAAACACCAAACAAACCTCCAAGGGAGGTTGGGAATCCAACTCAACCTGCACAAAGTCCTCACTTGGAGGAACCCCAGAACTAGTCGGAAAGGATTCCTTATTGCCAGGCAGAGGTGAGGAAGGTGGGGGGGAAACACCTCACCATAAAACTACCAGTTATGGCTCCCCCCCCCCCCCCAATCGACGCCTCCTCACTGCTCAGAGATCATTACGAGACAGGCCTGAATTGCTCCAGCATTTCACTTCCCACCAGGGGGAGAGGAGGAAGGAGGACTCGAGCGCTTCATTGGCTTCATTGGCTCCACGGCTGCCTGCAGCCCCATGGAAACTCCCCCAAGCAGAAGCCCCCCCCCATCCCGGCCCCTCACACCCGAGGACGGGAGGGCTGTTAGAGCAGCGATGGACATGAGGGGGGGACAGAGGTCATCACGGGGACCTGGTCCGAAGCCCATCAAGGCCTCCCCCCCCCCCCGCGTCGCAGGCTGCCAGCTGGCCAGGAGCTGCAACCGGAGGGGCCCCCCCGACCTGAGACCTTGTCCTCCAGCTTCACGTAGGCGACTTTCCCCTTGGAGGTGACCCGCAGGCGCCCCGTCCAGTCCGGCTGGTCCAGCTTCCAGTCGGAGGCCCTGCAAGGCAAATCCTCCGCTTCACAACCCGACCCTCCAAAGCTACAATGGCCCTGGAAAAAAAGGGGGGGGCTTGGGGCCGTCACCCCCACACTTACGACCGTTGCAGGCGATCCAAGATTGGGGCACCTGGCAACCGACTCAGTTACCATGGTGGTTGCCGTGTCCCACGGTCCCCCTTTTGACAAGCAAAACCAAAGGGAGGGAAAGGCTGGCTCGCTTAAGGACCACGTCACTAACGCAAACACTGCAGCGACTCGCTTAAAAACCTCTGGCCGGGAAGGTCGCAGAGCGGGGAGAGATTCACTGAACCGCACAAACGTTGGGCTCCGTTGTGGCCGTAGATCGAGGACTAGCTGTCCGCCCCCTGGAGCAGCCGGGGACCTTCGGCCGGCCTGGCCCCACCGGACCCCCAGGCCCCGCTCCGGGGGAGGCGCCTGATAGGGAGGGGGGGCGGTCACCGCCCGCAGCGAAGGGCCGGCAGGGTTGGCCCCGGGGAGGAAGCAGCTGCGGCCCCCGCCGAGACCTTCGGGCTCCCGAGGGACACCCGCTCCGCCCCCACCGGCCAGGGGGGTCGCGGCCTCGCCCTCCCCCCCCTCCACTGCCAAGAGGCCCGGCGAGGACGCGGCCCAGCGAGGCAGGCCGCGGGGGACGAGACGCCGCAGGGCTCGGCCTCCTACCGGTAGCCGCGGTTGGAAGCCCTGGGCGGGATGCGGAAGACGCTGACCTCGGGCTTCACACAGAGCACCGACTCGTACTCCGCCTCGGCCGCCGCCATCGCCCCGCCAGCTGACCCACCGCGCGCCGGAAGGGGAGACCCGCTGCCGCCGCCGCCGCCGCCGCTTCCGCCCAGCGTCCTGGCGCGCAGGCGCCGCTCCTGCCTCCCGGCCTCTATGGCCGCCCAGGGGAACGCCGGGCCGGAGAGCCGTGCGGGCCAGAGCGGCCGAGCTGTCTCTCCGGGAGGTGGGGGTAGGGTGGAGCCGCCTTGTCTGCTCCTCCCTTGGGGCGGGCGAGGGCGTTCCCGGGGGGGCGGGGGGAGAGAGAGGCGGGGACGACCGCCTGCCCCCCCCGACCGGCGGGGGGGGGGGTCCAGGCGGCGGCGAAGGAGAAAGACCCTCCGCACGGCAGCCCCGCGCTCGGCCACCGGAGCCGCCCCGTCCCCGTCCCCCACCCGCGGGGAAAGCGGGGCTCTCTCTCCCCCGCTGAGATGCTCCTCAGGGCCCCCTCCCCCGCCAAGTGGCGGGGAGTCCCCCAGGCTCAGCCCTTCCCCGCCCCGCCCGGGAAAAGCGGAACTGGCCGACCGGCCCCGGCCCCCAAAGTGCTGATGGGGCACTTAACTCCCCCCCCCCCCGTTCTCAGCCTCGTCTCCGCGGAGCAGCAGGCAGGGAGCCCGGCGGGAGCTTCGCCCAGGTAAGGTAGGCAGCGGGGCGGCGGGCAAGGAGTCCCGCCTTCTGGACTGCCTGGACTGCCAAGCGGCGACTCTCTTCGGAGCAGCCCATCGCCTGCAGCTCCTGGGCAAAGCGGAATCCGAGGGGGGCCGGCCCCCCTTCGCCCCCTCCGGTTCTCCGGGATGTTGCTAACTCGCGGCCGGAGCCCTCCGGGAAGAGCCCGAAGGGAGGGAGGGGGGGGGCTTTGGCTGGCCCTCCCCCCCCCCCCCCCGGCGGGAAAGGGGGGCCGCCCCCCCCCCCCCCCCCCCACCCCCCCCCCCCCCCGGCCAGATCCTGCCCGGCAGAGGCTTCTTCCCGCGGTCACACCCCGTGGACTTGGGCTGCAAAAGGGTCGGGCTCCATCCGGTTCCGAGAGCTGCTGCCTAGATGGACTTGTTGGGAGGCTTTTGCAGGTCCGGACTTTTCCCCTGCGGCCGCCTGGCAAATACGTTTGCAAGGCTTAAGCAGGACTCGCAGATCCTTTCCTGACCCACCGACCTCCCTTACAGGTGGAGGAAACCTCTTGGCACTTTTGTTACTTTCCAAAAGAAATGGCCCTGTGGTTTGGAAAGCAAAGCAAAAAACGCCCCGGGGGCGGGCGCGGCAGCAGCATCTTCTGCTTTCTAAAGAACAGGCTGCAGCCTTAGTGGGGAAAGCCCCCCCCCCAAGCGCTGGCCAAGGAGATCCAGGCCGTGATCTGAAAATGTAGCTGGCTAAGGGCCCTCTGGGGGGGGGGGGGGGGGGGGAGGGGGCATCTGCAAAACCCCACATCCGCCTGCACTCCCAGATAGTAACAGACTCAAAACTTCTTTCAGGCTTCTCCCCTTTGCAGCCGAAGATGGCCCCCCTGCCAGCAAACAGCAGCTTAGACGAAAGCGGCGAGCCTTTCCCGCTGCCTTCCCCCTCGGCTGCCGCTCTGGCCATCTTCTCCACCACCTTCCTCTTGGGCTGTCCCGGAAACGGCCTGGTCATCTGGGTGACTGCCCTGAAGATGAAGCGGACGGTGAACACGGTTTGGTTCCTGCACCTGGCCATCGCTGACCTCGTCTGCTGCCTCTCCTTGCCGTTCTCCATTGCTCAGTTGGCCCTCCACTATCGCTGGCCCTTTGGCTGGCTCTTTTGCAAGGTTCTCCCCTCGGTTATAGTTTTCAACATGTTTGCCAGCGTCCTCCTCCTCACCACCATCAGCATTGACCGGTGCCTCCTGGTGATGAAACCCGTCTGGTGCCAGAATCACCGGACGGTAAGGCTTGCGTCCGTGGTCTGCGGTGTTATCTGGATCCTCGCCTTCCTTTTGTGCGGCCCTTCCCTCTTCTACCGGGAGACCCTGGAAGATGAATTTGGCAATGCCAGGTGCATCTCCAACTGGAAAACAGGGAGGCATGATGATTACGAGTGGTTGGACGATCTGTGGGACGTTGAAGGCCCCATCCTTTTGGCCACCGAGAGCGCCTACAACGATGTCTTCCCAGGTGGAAACCTGGGTCCACACCCTTCCTACCCCACCGAAAGAAACACCGCAGGGCCTTTGGGTCTATTGCACCATTACAGAACCGAGATGGAGGCGGATGTATCGAAGAGGGCGGTTCCTGTCGCTCCTTCCCTGCTGTACGAGATCCCCAGGGCCCATCCGACTTTACCCACAGTCAGCACTTCCCTGTTCAAGGACCAACCGCCTAGTGCCTTCGTGGCCACCACTGTCACCAGAGCGGTGTTTGGCTTCCTGCTGCCTTTTGTGGTCATGGCCACTTGCTATGCTCTGATTGCCTGGAAGGTGCTGGCCAAGCCCTTTGTGGGGCCTCGCCGGAGGGCCCTGCGGGTGGTCCTGCTGGTGGTGGCCACGTTCTTCCTCTGCTGGGCTCCCTACCACATCACCGGGGTGCTCTTCCTTCTGGCTGCCCCCCAGACGCTGCTTCACCAGGCCCTGCTGTGGTGGGACAGCGTGTTCGTCGCTCTGGCTTACGCCAACAGCTGCCTCAACCCCCTTCTCTACGTCTTCGTGGGGCAAAACTTCAGGAGGAAGGCCTGCCAGACGGTGCAGGCGGTGTTTGAGGGGGCCTTGGGGGAGCCTTCCTCGCCAGGCTGCTCCCAGGACAAGAGGCAGGCGACCATGGTTGACAACGGGGTGGACGCTTCGACTTCCCTCTGACGCAGCTTCTGGGCAGCCAAAGCTCCGGGGAAGCCTCGCCCGGAGGTGGCGCTTGCTTGCCTTACAACCCACATGTCTCCTCCCACCCACCTTTTGCCTTCCTTTTACCTGGGCTATTAACGGCTTGTAGCGAGGCATGTTTTTCAAATATTTTTCTAGAGGTCTTCAAAAAGGATGAGCAGATGCTCTCCAAGGAAGTCCGTCTCTTCAGTTGCCAAGGCTTCTGCTGCCCGAGTCCTGCCAGCTGCTTCAGAACCCAGCGCTCTCCGTTTCATCCTCCAGCCCAGCTGGGCAAACCTTGGCGCAGAGGAGCCCAAAGCTCTCTCCTCTGGCCCCAACCTGGGAGCCTCCTGCCAGGTGCCCCTCCCCAGGGCTGTGTTCCCACAGGAAGGCCTCCTGCTCGGGGCCCTGGCAGAAGCCAAGGCTGGTGGGGCTGCCCCTTCAGGGCATGAATGCTAGGGGGGCGATTCAGCCGGGGGGGGGCACTGTGCACATTGGGGACCGTTCCTCTTATGGTGCTTCTGGGCCGCCTGTGAAATAAACGACGTGGGAGCTCCCCAAGGCTGACTTCTGTTTCCTCAAGGCGTCTCCTGGCAAAGTCTCCATCCCAGTTGCTCTGCGGGAGGATGAGGGAGTCGGGAGTGGGGTTGGGTGGGGTGACAGCCGACCTTTTGCAGTGACCCTCTGGGCCAGCTAACTAAGGCTGCCTCCAGGCTGGCCAGGAACAGAAACAGAAACCCAGCCAAGGAAGCCCACGTCCGGCCATCTCTCGGGCGATGACCTCGGGTAGCTTTTCGGCTGAGCTGGTTTGGTGCCGTCAGCACTGCAAGGGAAAGAAAGGGGAAGTGGGTGGGGAGAAGGCCCAGGCCATTCAGGGAGGGGGGAGGCTATCCCATGGGTGGGGCTGGCGATGGAGGAGGGGGAGTTGCAGCAGTGGCCAGTCCACAGGGCCGCTGGGGGGGTCTGCAGGGTTTAGAACTTTGGGGGGCTGCCCAGGGCCCGGAGCAAGGGGGCCGCTTGGCAAGGTAAGTAAGCCCCCCCATCCCTAAGGCAGCCCACAGCGCCACCCAGACCGGCAGGGCCTTCCTTGGCCCAGAGAGGCCTGCACGCTCAAGGGCCAGATTTAAACTTCTGTTGGCTTTTGTTCCGTAAGGACTAGGAGGGCCCAAAACCCACCAGCCCTGCCGTCTGCCACAAATTAAAACAGGGGCACCAAAACAGTTAAACCATAAACATTCACTTTTTTAATTAAGAAAGCATGCACAAAAATAATTTTTGTGAGGCCACCCGCCCTCTCCCCGGCATCGAGCATTGTGGGCTGCCCAGAGCAAAGGGCAAGCGAGGGACGCCCTTCCGTGGCTGGCAGGCAGGCCGCCTGGCTGGGCCCTTCTCCCCAGGCAGACCGGGACACTGGCAGGGCTCTGCCTCAGGTCGAATCCTCACCCCAGGACGACAGAGCTCCTTTACACGGAAGGAAAGGGGAGGACAAGACCGATGTGGACACTGATGGGAATCTATTTACATATGCAAAAAGGCGCAACTGTGTGGATGGAGAGCCTGATGGATGATCTCTTGCCTCCCTGAATGACTCTTGGGGGATGGGGGAGGGGCTCCTCCTCAGAAGCCACCCTGCCCAAAACCTGGAGGAGAAACCATCCCTGCATCCTGCCCTGGGCAGCCACCTTCTTCTCGTGACAGGAGAGGAGGTCAGCACCGGGGCCTCCTGCACATCCGACTCAGGGTCTCCCTGAAGACCACTGGACGACACCCCCCTCCTGTCCAAACCCCCCTCCCTTCCCTCCCCAGCAGTGAGCTGGGTGCTCCAGGAACCTTCCCTTCCCTCCATGATAGTTCTGCACCCAGCCGGGCTCTCCCCCCCTCCCCACACACACACAAAGCAGGCTTGCAGCCGGAGGGGCATGCAGGAGAACCAGAGGCCTGGCCACAGAGCAGCACCCTGGGAAGAGGGAGCCCAGCAGCAGGGCACTGGGGTGCCACAGCCAGCTCAACATGGAATCCCAGGTGGGCGCCTTTTGTACAGCGGCCATGCTTGGAAGGGCCTGCCCCCAATCCGCCCGGCCCTCCCTGCAGCAGAAGGGGCCGTCCAGCTTCCCTTCCCAATTGGGGGGGGGGGCCCGACCCGTTCGGGGGTTGGCCCCAACTTCCCCCCCCCAATTCTGCTCGTCTCCATGTTCCCCTTTCTGCCTCCCTTCATCTGCCACAGGAAGCATCGTCCCTTGCTCGGCTATACAAGGCGCGGGGGTGGGGGGGGAAACCCCCCCTCCT